TGGAGGAAGACACATCCCACCCATAGGGGTGAGAGGGGATATATACCACCCATAGGGTGGTATATATATATATGAGATATAGCCATCAACACAACAAAGGAGATATATTCAGTTAAAACACATTTTGACAGCTCAGTAAGACCTGATGCTTTAGCAGCTTCTAAAATACCTGATATGTTATTAAATTTGAAGAATTCAGTTTTACAATCTAAATCTACTTTGTTCTGTGAAAAGTTAAAGAAACTGTTTAAAATGTCTATAACAAGTATACAAGAAGCTTGGCTTGGAATCAAGAATTAGAAACTCTGGTCCTTCCAAACCAAGGGACTCAGGTTTTGAAGAATACATTACTAAGTTTATGTCTTGTGAATTCAAGATGAAATTAATCCATCAAAACATTGTTTTTCTTATCTATTGGACACTATCTATAATGTTTCATAAAGGATGGACTAATGATTATTTGTGTTGGCATTGCAAGAAATTTGAAGGCATCTTAACTCAAATGTTACAGTCATGTTCCTCCTTGTACTCCTTTTGGAGTAATGTTATGCAATATGTTGACAGAATTATTGGGAAAACTTTGGTTTTTAAAGGCATGCATATTGTACTAAATTATATACCAACTACTTGGAATTTAACATGTTTTGAAGAAAGATGGGTTTTTCATGCTCTAGGAATAGCAAAAAGAATAATTGTTATGAGATGGAAAAACTGGATTTCAGAGTTGTATAATTTAGCAGTTTTTGAGAAGATTACATATTCTGTCAATCAGAAAATGTGACCAACTCTCCCTTTGGAAAAAGACTTGGTGAACACTGAAACATCCTTTTAAAGACTTATAAAATCCAGTGAACCTGGAATATATTTGCAATTACAGATATTTTTTCTTTTTTATGTTTCCATTTGTTCTGTTATTTTTTTTCTTCACTTTTTTAATTGTTCATTTTTATTTTAGAAAGTTTGTTTGAAAATGGGTTAATAAAAATTACTTAAAAAAAAAAAAGATTGGGACCACATGTACCTCAATTCAGCAGTATATTTGCTAGCCAGAACACTTTTATTATGAAAAGATAGTTTATGATAGAGGTTTTCAAACTTTTTCAGGCTGCACAACCTAGTTAAAAAAATATTCCTGGAACCCCTGAACAAGAGGAAATTTTCTACTTTGAACTGATGGATCAGTCGAAGATGATTATATATCCTCCTTGACATAGATGATACATGGTTGTCCAGGAGGGATAAGATGGGAACTTGTTTCTTAAGAAAAAATGTGACCCTATACAGAATAAGAATATTTCTCAAATTTGACATTCAGCCTCTAGAATCAGTAATAACTTTGTCTTATCTGAATTCATCTGATTCTCCCATATTCAATTCTTTATAATTAGAAGCAGGCAATTTTGAACTTGCAAGAAAGGAAAAGTGTGGTGAAAACTTTGAATGATACCATGTTAAATAGACAAAATTAGCCTAGTAGGGCAGTGCTGAAAGTGATATTGTAAAGGGTTGATTCCAAGGCTTCCCTCCTCCCCAACTCCGATGCTCCATGATCAATGATGTAAAAAGCCACTGAAAGATATAAGTGCATCAACAGGGTTCTACTTTCCCTATGCCTCTGCTAGTACAGATAACCCACCAAGGCTTCTTTGTACTATATCTGGGCCTGTTCAATGGCTGGGATGGATCAAGATAATTTGTTTTATCTAAGAGCTCCTGAAGCTGTAGCAATATTACTCTCCCAATCAACTTGGCTTAAATATCAAATACTGTGGCTGAGATTGTTTCTTCAGAAAGAATCTCATCACCACCTTCGTTAAAGTGGCATGGGAACCCAACTGAAAAAAGGTGGTATTAATGATCTGAGTGATCACTGGCAGGGTGAAGTCCTGAGAGAGCCTTGCAAATTAAACTAGGGAGAGATCTATTATGCAAATGAATCATACCCACTTTCTAAGGAGACAAGCAACAAAACTTTCTCAGATAGATCTTATTAGATAGTGTGATGGATAACTTATGTATAACATTGCCCAAAGAGACATCAAGTCTATAATAAATTGGAGTTTTCTTGTCCATGAAGAATCACCAAACTGCTCATAACGGAATTCAGAAGGTGTTAGGGTGCTAGAAGGAACCCCTGGAGGCTGATCTTCCATCTGAGAGCCCTGAAGCCTTTGGACAATTGATCACAGAGACAATCAGGGAGAAAACCCATTCCTTCTTTGATTGCTGCAACATACGCTTTACATGCTATCATGCCTGACCTGATACTTGCTCCACTTACTTGCTGTCATCTTGCATTTCATATACCACTGAATACTATGGGCTCTCACACACAATAGGGCACTTTGTCATAATAGAGTTGGTGCCATAAAAATATCTCAGTGGATATTATGCTGTACAGACTGGTTCTGAAGCAGGTTAGTGCTGGCTCCTGAGAAAAATAATGTTATTGTTGATGATACTGTTTTCTAACAATGGTCTAAAGGAACAATATTCTGCCATTAGCCCAGTTAGACTCCTAATTCTGCTTCTAGTAGAAATGTTGTTGTTGTTGTTGTAACTGTTATTAAGACTTATATGGCCATCAAAACAAAATGAGTCAACTTGAGTTGCATTGAATTAAACTCAAATCAGGAGAGGGTAAAGAGAAGAATATTTAGTTCAAAAGGCTGGAGAAGAAAGGCTGGCTCTCATTCCCTCTAGAAGTAAGAAATCCACTTCAGTGATACCCTAAAAATTCTTTCATATGGGGACAGGAAACTTAGTTGATTCCTGTTTTATTATGGAGCAATCCACACTTCAGTGACCAATGAATTTTTTTTTTTGGTCTTTTTTTAGTGCAAAGATGTGGGTGATGTGTTATTTGCCTACTCTGTCCTAGACTGCAGTGTAATAAAAGAGCTGAAAGGCATAGTGAATCATAACGTATTCTTAAGGGCAGAGTCATGAAGTAATCACTAGCATATGGAGAGAACAAATCTACAGTACGTGTTATGTTACTGCAGACTGGAACTCAGACCTTTACAATCCTGAAAAGGGTTGGCATGAGAATTCAGGCATGCAGAATCTAAAAGAGGTTCTTAGATGCAGAGACTTTTGACAATTTGAACTGAGCTTTCCTATGAATGTTTTAGAAGATATGAATTTTGAAGAGAATTTTATTAAATGGCCAAGATTGATTTATACTTCACAGAAAGCACAAATAATTGCCAATGGAGATCTAACAAAACTCTGTGAGATACAAAATGGGACAAGACAGGGATGTCCATTGTCTCCTCTCATGTTTATTTTAGTTCTTGAAATATTGAATAGAGATATAAGACAAGATAAGAGAACTGTGGGAGTAAAGATTAAAAAAGAAACATAAGTTAAGGGCATTTGTTGATGACTTGGTGTTGGTTTTGGAGGATCCACTAAAGGGAATAGAAACATTAATGGGAAAATTAAAAGAATCTGGTACACTAGCAGGTTTTAAGATTAGCAGTCAGAAAACAAAGATATTAACAAAAACATGAAAATAGAGGATGAAACAAAACTGATGAAGAAAACAGGTTTTAAGATTGAGAAAAAAGTAAAATATTTGGGTATCACTATAACAGATATGAATTGTATGTTATTTCAAAATAATTATGTTAAGACAGGAGAAAAAAGATATGTTAAGATGGGAGAAACTACAACTGCCATTGCTGGGAATAATTTCTGTGATAAACTTGAATGTCTTGCCTAGAATGATGTTTTTGTT